CGTGGGCTTATTGGCCCACCTGGTCGGTTGTTGGCAGATTAGCCCAGCCTACTAGCCAACCCATGGATGGTTGGGTGGGCCATGGATTGACCACTCAACCATATGGTGGCCTTGGTTGTTTCATTCTTAGGTGTCCARCTCTTCGAGACCTGAACCATTAATCTGCCTCCTTAATCTTGACTCATGCGGCTCATTTGCACGTTTGTGGGGGCTTTATTTCACTCCTAACAAAAAGAAAATTATTAATATTTTTTCTAGSTATTTGCATAAATTGCATAAAATAATTTTGAGTTTTTTAATATAGTAGACAACTTAAAATTTTACAAAAATAGCAAAATCAACATCAAARTCAAATATAATATAAAACACAATAATAAAAGTCTTATGCTATATTTGGAAAGATGAAATTTGGTAACATTTTCTAGAATATCTTGCTAATAACAGGGGATGGAGGACTTTTGACTTAAAAAAAAAAGGATGGAGGATAATCTCTCTCTTTCTATTTTTACCTTTAATATTCTTTAACCTTATAATATATTAATTATTAATTTTAGTAATAGTTTTTTTTTTTAATTTTAAAGAATGATTTTTTTTTTCATATATATACCATGAAGAGCACTATTTGGGGTAAAATTGCGTCAGCACGTGGAGGACAAAGAGAAGTCCCTGGACACTTCCGGAAGACCAGACCACCTTAAATCGTTCCGAGGTGGCTTACTTATTCATAAATACGTTTTGGGAACCGTCTCGCAGTGCGATTAGCATCCAAGTCTGACACAGCTTAAGATATGTCCGACCTACTATTCGACACTGATAACTGCCTGTCGAAAGAATTGTCAGATCCCTAACCCGAAAATAGAAAGCACCACTTCTGCATACAGGTATCGCATTCTATCTCGAACTTACTATTGAGTCCGAGCTGACACTGATTTGAGCGTCGGAGTGTTTGCCTATCTTATGCGGGTCATTCCTTGACGCAGCGGGTATGCTATTTCACGTGTCCGACCTTGACCAGGTCTTACCTCATCCGATTTTATGCATAAACAAACACTTAAACAAGAGAATTATTCAAACTTCCACAAACGAAGACTCGATCTTCAAAATTAACAACTTAAACTAGCTATATTTAAAGGTCAATTCATGCCTAATGTAAGACATCTATTCTTATCTCAAAAATCGATATTTGATCCTCATTTCTACAATTGTTGAATTTAGAAAGAAAGGGAAAAAAAACTATATTTAAAGTATTACATCGATCTAAAGGTTAAACTAAAGTAGTCAATCTAAGTGTAACTCAACAAGTTAAAGGTATTTATCCCCTACTTTATACTCACAAAATTAAAATAAAAAAATATATTTTTTGTTTTAAAAGGAACATAATATTAATTAAAGATAAAAAGATTCGAAAGTAAAATAAATTAACCATATCTATTTAAATTTTAAATTAAAATGAACATTTATTAAAAATAAAATTAGACCATATGGAAAACAAGGCAGGCACACATTTGCCAAATTTAAAATAAAATGAAAAAAAAATTTCTCTAAAATGTAAAGTAAAAATAAGTAACAAATATAGCTCAATTAGTAAAACCTATTTTTTGATAAGTAGATTCGAATAACTATCCTCACATATTATTGAGTAAGTTAAAAATAAAACAAAGAATGAACTTGAACTAATTGTAATCAGTAATTTTATTTCTCTTGATTAATAAGTTTGATTCTATCGACAGATTGGACCAATTTTTAACAGATAAACCAAATTAAATTATAAAATTGAAACAACRTTACTTTCTTAATAAATTCAAAATATTAAAATCAATTGATGACATCAAGTATACTAAAAATTATAAACTATTTTGTTGAGGGTACACATACATATTACCATAAAAAGAAATTAATTCTACTTTTATTTTCCTTTTCCTACTTAAAATTTTTTTAATTAAAAATTGATACAAAAGCAGTCAAAGAATTCTATTAAGAGATAAAGAAAATACTATATTATATCTTTTCATATTAAATATTGCACAAGTGAAAAATTACATGCAATTTTTATTTTTCAGAAAGGAGGTAAGTTCAAATTCAAGATCTYTCCTCAAAAGTATTTTTTTTTACAACTTTGTGATTAAGATTTTGAAGTTGAAGAAGATATATTTGAAAAAATCTTCACGATATCAAAATTTGGAGAACAATCTATTGGTTGGAGGTATATGTCAATTATCGCTCAGCTGGCTTTTGGCCATTCACTCTCCCTCTTAAATTACGTTCTCTCCTCTATTCTTATTTATACTTTCAATAAAATAAATTGGACCCCACATTTTGAATATTTATATTGGTAGATTTTTCTCCCTCCAAAAAAATTTATAGTTTTGTCAAAGTATCTCATTTTTAATACTAAAAAATATATAATTTTTAAGTTTTTGTTTTTATATAATGGTACTTACCATTTCTCAATGCATATAGATAACAAATAAAATTTAATTATAACATTYTAAATTAGACAAAAAAATTACTTAGTCATTTTAAAATAAAGTTACAAATAAAAAGAATATATATAAATGGGTAACAAATAAAATATAATTTTGCTAGAAAWAACAAATAAAATCTAAATATAAATATTGATTAAATAGGATAAAATAAGTTAACAATAAAATAACATGYGAAAATGGTTAACCAATAAAATAAAATTATAATATTGATTAGATTGGAAAAAATAATTATTYAATTAATTGAAAAGAAAATTCTAAATAAAAATAAAATATCAATAACGAATGTTGGACCAAAGGACGAAAAATCTACCAATGAATTGAGGAGTAGGGAGAGGAACGTGGAGTTGTA